AATGTCTAAGTTGTGAAATCGTTTTTAATCCTTGAGAGGTTGACTTCATTCAACCTTTAAAAGTGATGTAATATGATGTCATGAAATGGGCGGCGCTAAGACGGAGCAAGGAGGGCTTTGCTTTGAGTGTCTAGCTGCTCATTCGCGCCTCCACTCCTTCCTGACAGAAGTAGTGGCCACCTGCTGGGAGTCAGTAAAGCACAGTGCATCCAAAGGGTTCAACAGTCAATGTTTAATTATTTCACCTTATTGCATCCTCATCATCACATTTACACAGAGGTCAAACGGTCAGCAGACCCAGTTATGGTTCAGGTTCTGAGTTTAGAGAGCCGAGCTTTAGCTCAGAGTTTGATCAACAGCTTTTCCCACAGATTTAAGTCACACATATAGAAAGCTGAACCAGATTCCCTTCATTACACTATGAATATATGCAATAAACACTGATAGAGTTCATTTGAACCATTCAAGTTCTTTTTTTTTCATAAAAAAACTGCAAATAGTTTTTAAATTAATTTTTATCATTATTAGTTGTGTTTTTTGGTATAATAAAGAGTTAAAATAGAATTCCACACATGAGAAAAAAAAAAACTCTGAACACAAACCCCTTTACCTCCTTTAGGTTGATTTACATTTAGTGCAATTGTTGTGTTCCCTTTTTTCATCTTCGTTTCAACCTGGCCATAGTGTTTGGAGCCTTAATCAAGAAAAGCTCCGGGTTCCTTTTTTTATCTACCGAGTCTTCTGTGTCTGACAATCAGCAGAAAGAATGGACCCGTATGAATGAAAACATTTAGAAAACAACAAAAAAAAGGTGCAAATAGGCTGCAGGTTAAACCTGGTGCAGAAAAATAAGGAATAAATTGCTTTGTTTCTTGAAGAAGATTCATGGGGATTCCCATATCTTCTACTTTTCCAGTTTTCTAAGCTAATCTCTGCTAGAAGCAACTGTTGTTCCTCCAAGATCAGAGCTGCAGTTTCCTACTGGTCCCGTCACGGTGGTGGCAGGCTTCTTAGTTTACTGTAGTGGAACCATCAGAGACAGCCTGCAGGCCACCTGCGAAAGAAAAACAGAAAAAAACAGTGAAGCCGTCTGCGGCTCACATGCTGACGCCACATCGTTTCGATTGCGTCACTCACGTGTCCTGATCTTGATTGGCCAGATGAGGAGGGAGCAGAGCGCTAAGGCTGCGACGACGGCCACGCCCCCCGTCACTGCGACCATGACGTAGTGGTAAAACCAGACGCAGGCCGGACAGCACACCGCCGTACTGATGGGACACAGACGGAGCAGGGTGAGCCATGGACAGCAGAACAATTCAGGCGTCTTTTTTATTTTCCATTTAAAACTAGCATTTCAGTGTGTTTTAGTGATAAAAACAGTAATGAAGAGTAAAAATGAATCAACAGCTCCCTCAGACCTTCTGTGTCTGACATCATCAGCAAATATTAATATTCACTAATAATAACCTGAATAGTTACAAAGAGCTGTTATCAAAACGATTATTTGACTTTTTAGTGAAGATTGTCAGTCATCCAGGTTCCAAAAAAGTTAGAAACAATCCGCTGGACTTTGTTTGCAAGTTTGAAGACGTTTCACTTCCCATCCGGGAAGCTTTTTCAATTCAAAATGTCAGAAATAGCGTTGAGTTCGAAGTTTTATAAAGTAGCTCAACAAAGCCTTGTTTTTGTTTAGAAAACATGCAAATTTATTTAGCCAGGCCAATAATCCCCTATAACGACCCCCCTTTCAGACATTTAGACAGGTATGGGGCATAGCATGCTAACAGAAGAAGCCAAACGACCCCATTCCAAAGGGGTTGACCCGTACGTAAAGTGAAACGTCTTCAAACTTAGAAACAAAGTCAATTGTTTTTTTAAGTTTTTCGGAAACAGATGGAATGGAATGACGTCATACACACTCCAATTTGTTTTAAAAAGATATAAATATAAGAAATATAACCACAGATCTCTGGGGGACAGTGATTGGCCTACATGTTCTGAATGGTGGCGTACCATAAATGATAAATTATTAACAGTTTAGTTTGTGCCTTCAAGTCGTTGCCCATAGGAAGACGTTACTTGGATATAACCTAACGGAATATCTTCAGAACGGCTCCAAAT